AGGATACAAGTTGCAGGCTAGAACAAGATACAAGTTGCAGGTTAGTATAGGATACAAGTTGCAAGTCAGCACAGGATACAAGTTGCAGGCCAGAATAGGATACAAGTTGCAAGTCAGCACAGGATACAAGTTGTAGGCCAGAACAGGATACAAGCTACAGGCCAGAACAGGATACAATGTAAGCCTAGTCAACACGTGTTTGATAACCTGTAATGGAATGAAGCTGCAAATCACAGGGTAGGATGAGAAGTGCATACGCCTCACAATGCGTGTCTGTACGACAGGAAAGGCATAACGGAGTAATGCGACACGACGAGTATACGTACATTCGTCCATGACGGTTGCGGGCTTTTGTGCTGCTCCCACTGTTGATTGTCCACGTAACGTCAAAGATGCAACGGCGTGGCTATTTTTTTCATCTTCTGATTCGCTGTGACATGGGAGAGTAAATTCGCTGCGACACTGGAGAGTTGATTCGCTGACACGGGAGAGGTGATTCGCTGACACGGAAGAGTAAATTCGCTGCGACACGGCAGAGGTGATTCGCTGACACGGAAGAGTAGATTCGCTGCGACACGGCAGAGTTGATTCGCTGACACGGCAGAGTTGATTCGTTGTGGTTTACAGTTTCTAGATTCCCTACCATCCCTCGCCCGGCTTCCTGGCCTGCAGATGTTAGCAAATCGTCGGGAAAACCCCACCGCCGAGCCACTCACCAGCATCGCGCGGCTGCCACCCAGCTCCGCGTCGAGGCCGTCCGGGTACGTCTTGGGCGCGCTGACCTTGTCCGGGTAGACGTGGCTGACGGCGAAGCACAGCGTAAGCACCGTGGCGACAAAAGTGCCCAGCAGCAGGCCGCCCCAGGCCGGGGTGAAGTGGTCGTAGTCGTGCAGCGAGAGGGCGCCCAGGATGTCGTGGTCCTCGTGGCACGGCTCGCCAAAGTTGCGGCGGTCCTGCTTGTCCCACCAGTCCGCGTACGGGTCGCGCTTGCTGCGCTTCTCCAGCGGCGGGTTGACGTAGCCGCCGTTCTGCAGCGGGTCGGCCAGCTCGGCGCGCTCGTGCGCCGTCAGGGCGGTGCGACGCTGGGTGAAGTGCGGGACTGCGGCGGAGCGCAGCGCCGCGCGGGGGAGCGGGCGGGCCGCGGTGAGGCGCCGAGAGAGCATGCTGCAGCCTTGTTCAGCAGCTGGCGGGGGCAATTGGGGGGGTTGCGGTGCAAGGCGGGGCGTGGATCGGGACGCGTTGCTGGTGGTGACGGCGATGGCGACGGCCGACGTGTGGGAGCTCTCCGAGGTGCCTTGCTTGGCGCGCCAGTCCGCGTTGGGCGAGGTCGTGTCCGCGAGCCTAGTCCGACAGGACGGCCTGCCTGGGTCGTGTACGTCGCAAATGTCAAGCGGCGCGCTAGTCGCGTTGGCCAGTCTTTTTGGGCGTCGGGGCCCCGACGGAGACGACTTTTGATCGGAGACGACTTTTGATCCTCACAACCCAAACACACACACACGCCCGCCGCTGCAGTCCCCCCGCGACGCGCCACGGCAGATCCGAGCACGGCCGCATTCTCAGCGGGCGCGAAACCATCGGAGCAGGAGGCTGCGAGCGGATACATGCTGGTTCGAGCGTGTGCTGGGTCGCCTCCCTCGCTCTGAATGGAACAAGGCTCCGGCGACGACGGCGACGACGCGATCGCCCGCCGCGCACCGAATGGCGACACCACGACGGTCCGGGTCGCCGTCAAGGACGAGGGCGCGGGCGACGAGTCCGCCCGGCGCTCGACGTCGCGCGCCGCCTCGCCGCCGTGGAAGTCGTTCAGCGCCAACGGGCCCACGACCGTCTTCGAGAACGGGGTGCGCAAGTCGTCGCGCGTGAACCGCGACGCGGCCGCCCCGCCGACGCCCGAGTCGACGCGTCGGGCGAAGCTCGCCCCGCCGCAGACGAACGGCACCCCGAAGCCCGCCGCTCGCAAGCGCCTCGCCAGCAGCGTCACCAAGCGCCGGCCGGCCGCGACGACGGCCGCGACGACGCCGACCCCGACGCTGAGCACCCCCGCGTCGCGCAAGTCGGAGCGCCAGCGCGCGCCCGCTGCCCGTCGCTCGCCCGTCGCCCGTCGCCCGACGCCGCCGACGCCGCCCGAGAGGAAGCGCGGACGCCCCCGGCGCGGCACCCTCGACGACGAACACGACCCGGACGGCGGCCTGTACGTCGAGACGCTCGACCCCGCCGCCCCCGCGCCCCGCCTGCGTCTCAAGCTGCGCAGGCTCGACCCCCCGATCCGCCACCCGCTGCACGCCCCGCCGCCGGCCAAGCACGGCTCGCTCGCCGCGTTCCTCGCCCAGGACGACGCGTTCGAGGGCGACGAGTCGCAGCGCATCACAGACGAGCGCGCCGACGACGAGGCGCGTCGGCGGCTGCGCATCGAGCTCGCGGCGGAGCGCGGCGTGCTGAGCCAGGCCGTCTGCAGCGTCTTCGCCCCCGAGGCGGCGCCCGAGCCGCCGCAGGCCGTGGCCCACTGGGACCACGTCGCCGCCCACGCGCTGCACTTTGGGCGGCTGCTGGCGGACGAGAAGAAGAACCACCGCCGTGTGGCCCGCGCCCTCGCGCGCGAGGCCCAGGACAAGTGGGCCGCGCGCTACAAGCACAAGACGCAGGACGAGCTCGACCAGGACGAGCTCGACCGCCACATCACGCGCTACAAGCAGCTCGTGCGCGACCTCAAGGACGCGTGGGCCCTCGTCCGCGCCGAAGTCGACAGGGAGCGCATCGCGCGGTACGAAGAGGAGCAGCTGCAGCTCGGCCACAAGGCCATGGACGACATGTTCAACCAGGCCCAGGAGATTCTCGGCCGCGGGCCCGCCGACTCGGCCTCGTACTACAGCGAGGACCGCGACTTTGACGACGAGCTGCGCAGCGACGACAGCGGAGACGACAACAACGCCGCCGCCGCCGACGACGACGACGACGTCATGTCCTCGAGCGACGACAGCGAAGACGACAACAACGCCGTCGACGACGACGCCCAGCTCACCGCCGAGCAGCTGCGCGCCAAGTACGAGCAGCTGCCCGACCTCCCGGACAGCTCCAGTGAGGCGGAGGCGGAGGCAGAGGCGGAGGAGGCAGAGGAGGAGGAGGAGGAGGCAGAGGAGGAGGAGGAGGAGGCGGAGGAAGAAGAGGATAATGATGATGACGATCAAGACAAAGGCACGCCCGGCCCTGACCTGGACATGGAGGACGCTGAACCCCACACAAACGGCTGGCACGACGAAGAGCACGACGACAGCAAGCCCGACTACATCAACCCCGACTACATCAACCCTGCAGACGTCGAGCTGGAGCAAGTCGACGACGCGCTGCTGGACTCGGACGATGGCGAGTCTGGCTCTGGCTCCGGCAGCGAGGAGTGGCCCAGCGACGACTCCGACTCCAACGAGGACGAGGACGAGGACGCAGAGCACGGGACGGGCGCCTCTGACCACGGCACCGACGATGAGGAGGGTCATGTTGGCCTGATGGGCTTCCTGGGCGCCAGCGACATCAAGAAGCTAAAGGCAGCCGCCAGGACGGCTGCCGACGAGACAGCGACAGAAGACAGTCGAATCGACGGCCACGCAGACAGTCGAATCGACGGCCACGCAGACAGTCGAATCGACGGCCTTGGACACAGCCGCATCGACGGCCTTGGACACAGCCACATCAACGGCCATGAAGAGAGCCACATCAACTGCCATGAAGAGAGCCAGACCAACGGCCAAACCATCTCTCAACCCGTCGAGGACATGATGCAAGCCGAAGACATGGTGCAAGTCGAGGACATGGTGCAGGTCGAGGACATGATGCAGGCCGAGGACACGATGCAGGCCGAGGACACGATGCAAGTCGAAAACACGATGCAAGTCGAAGACACGATGCAGGCCGAGGACATGATGCAGGCCGAAGACACGATGCAGGCCGAGGACATGATGCAGGCCGAAGACACGATGCAGGCCGAGGACATGATGCAGGCCGAGGACGAGCCAGCTCCTCAGCCCCGCGAGACCTCACAGCCACCACGCGCGGAAATCCCGCCCCTCCTGCGCGGCACCCTCCGCGAGTACCAGCACGGCGGCCTCGACTGGCTCTCCAACCTCTACGACACCGACACAAACGGCATCCTCGCCGACGAGATGGGGCTCGGCAAGACCATCCAAACCATCTCGCTGCTCGCCTACATTGCCTGCTTCCGCAACGTGTGGGGCCCGCATCTCGTCGTGGTCCCCACGAGTGTCATGCTCAACTGGGAGATGGAGTTCAAAAAGTTCCTGCCGGGCTTCAAGATCCTCACCTACTACGGCGACATCAACGAGCGCAAGCGCAAGCGCATGGGCTGGCGCAACACGGGCAAGGACATGTACAACGTCGTCATCACCTCGTACCAGCTCATTCTGCAGGACGCCGCCGCCTTCAAGATGCGAGCCTGGCAGTATTTGATCCTGGACGAGGCCCACAACATCAAGAACTTCAAGTCGCAGCGCTGGCAGACCATGCTCACACTGCGCACCGAGCGACGCCTGCTGCTGACGGGCACGCCGCTGCAGAACAACATTGACGAGCTGTGGTCTCTGCTGTACTTTCTGATGCCCGCGGGCTTCGCTGGCGAAGGCCGCATCGCCAACCTCGACGACTTCACCCTGGCCCTGAAGAACCCGACGTCGCAGATCCTGGACCAGGGCCGACAGCAGCTGGACGCCGAGGCCCAGAAGATCGTCGCGAGGCTGCACCAAGTCCTGCGCCCGTACCTGCTGCGCCGGCTCAAGTCCGAGGTCGAGAAGCAGATGCCGGGCAAGTACGAGCACGTCGTCTACTGCAAGCTCTCGAAGCGCCAGCGCCAGCTCTACGACGGCTTCATGGGGCGCGCCGACACGAAGCAGATCCTCTCGTCCGGCAACTACATGTCCATTATCAACTGCCTCATGTCGCTGCGCAAAGTCTGCAACCACCCGGATCTGTTCGAGACGCGCGCCATTGTCACGTCGATGGCGATGCCCAAGTCTGTCGCCGCGGCGTTTGAGATTACCGATCTGCTGATCCGAAGACGGCTCGGCGAGGGCGAGGACGAGGAGCGGGTAAACCTCGACGCCCTCCACATGGTCTTCGCGCGGCGCGAGCAGACCCAGCTGCGACACGCGCGGCGCTCCCAGCAGATCCGCGCAACACGCCCGCTGGAGGATCTCATCGAACGGCAAACGCGCCGCATCAACAAGCCGGCTCCACCAGCCGCGTCCTCGCTCCAGACGACCATGTCAGCGCTCGCACGGCGCGAGCAGGTCGCCGTCCGCCATCATCTGCAGCGATGTCTGGCTCTCACGCGAGCAAGAACGCAGTTTCTCCCCGTCTACGGCAAAGACGTCATCGACGCCGTCACCGTGGACTGGCACGCATTCACGTTTGGTCCTCGGCGCGCTGGCATCAAGATACTCAAACCCAAGCCGCTGACGAACCCCTACTACCCAATGCCGCAGACACTGCAGCCGCAGCCGCAGCCCATGCCCATGCCGATGCCGACGCCCATGCCGATGCCAGCCTATCCGGCGCCTCCACCGAACCACCACTTTGGGCAATCGACAACCATCATACCGCCAAAGGAGGACGAGCAGCAGTACGACACCGTCCGTAGATACCACGGCGACCTCGGCTTCAGGGCGCCCAAGTCCACACGGGCTGCGAATGAGTGGTGCGCCGAGCAGGTGACACACTTCTTGGACATGATTCCCACGCTTGAGCAGCGCGCAGATTCGCTGCAGCCCCTCATCGCCCAGTTCACCTGCGTGACGCCAGCGGTCGCTGCCGAGGAGCTCGCCCCTCTCACACTGTCGAGACGCGGCGTGCAGCTCGTCAGGGCCTCGGACATGGCGCAGCAGCGCGACCCCTTCCACGAGGCGCGCATGCGCCAGTCGATCGCCTTCCCCGACAAGCGCCTCCTGCAGTACGACTGCGGCAAGCTGCAGCGCCTCGCCACGCTTCTCCGCGACCTCCAGTCCGGCGGCCACCGTGTCTTGATCTTCACCCAGATGACCAAAGTGCTTGATATTCTGGAGCAGTTCCTCAACATCCACGGCCACCGGTACCTGCGCCTCGATGGGTCCACCAAGGTCGAGCAGCGCCAGATCCTCACCGACCGCTTCAACAGCGACACCAGCATCCTCGCCTTCATCCTGTCGTCCCGCTCCGGCGGCCTCGGCATCAACCTCACGGGCGCCGACACCGTCGTCTTCTACGACCTCGACTGGAACCCCGCCATGGACAAGCAGTGCCAGGACCGCGCGCACCGCATCGGCCAGACGCGCGACGTGCACATTTACAAGTTCGTCAGCGAGTACACCATCGAGGCCAACATCCTGCGCAAGTCGAACCAGAAGCGCCTCCTCGACGATGTCATTATCCAAAAGGGCGACTTCACCACCGACACGTTCAACAGGGCCACCTGGCGCGACGCCCTCGACGACCGTGCCGACACGTCCGACGAGGCGGGCGCAGCCATGGACCGCGTGCTGGGCGAGCGCGCGGGCATCCTGGGCGACGCGCGCGTCATGAACACGGTCGAGGACACCGAGGACCGTAATGCGGCGTCGATGGCGCACAAGGAGATTGTCGACGAGATCCACGACGACCACGTCGACTTCAACGAGTCCAGCAACGCGACCCGCGCGCCGTCCGAGGCCGTGGCTGCAGCCGCCGACCTCGACGCCCTGGTCGAGCGCCGCCACGTCGACGAGTACATGCTCGGCCTGTTCCGCGCCGAGTTTGGCAGCGAGCCGTACAAGCCGCCGACGGACCGGCAGAAGAGGAACCGCAAGGGTCAGGATCCGCATGTCCGCCAGCGGAAGAAGAAGTATTGATCGAATATTGTATTAGTAGACTGTATACCAGAATTTCGTATCGATTGTGTCCATCGTCGATGTGTGCATGATTCCAAGCCCGTCTCCTCTCAGCGCCATGTGATCCCCAAGTTCCTGACCGTCCATGGGTGGCCAAGTTTGCTTCACGCAGTAGTCAATCACCAGTCCCTACCCGTTCGATCGCATGAAAGCCTCTGCTGACGAGTTCCCATATCGGGCCACCAGAAGACACGCTTCCCAATTCTAGCCCTATCTCGATTCTTCCAAGGCTGGCACCCGGATTAGATGGACCAATATCGAGCTGTCGACGCCGACCAACGCGCTCAGCCTCCAGACGTCGCTAGCGAGAATCTGTTGCGGCAATCGTAGCCGCTGTATATCGATGGAAAACGGCGCTGAGTTGCTTGCTAGCTAGGAGGCGACCATATATACATGCCCTGAGACGTGCTAGTCCAAGGTAGTCAACGGAGGTGACGATCGAGGCCTGTCGAACCGACTTGCACCGCAACAGAATCCCGTCCGCCGCGACCCACGGATCGCCACGCTCCTACCCAGCCTTCACGCAGTCTGACCAAATCGGAGTGTGGAAACACTGCTCGTCAGTCTTTTCCTGCTCGTCGCCTCATCTGACTCGTCATCTGGCACACGCGATCATAACCGGGATCAAAGTAATGAAAGCCTGGAAGCCTTCGCCTGTGCCGCATAGACCCCCTCGGTGTTCGTCCCTACTCTGCTCCTGCCACCCACTGTCACATTACACCGATTTCACCAATGTCGGCCACCACAGGAAACAAAGTGTACGTCGTCACCGGTGCCAATCGAGGCCTCGGTCTTGGCCTTGTGCAATCGTTCCTTGCGCGTCCCCAACACACGGTGGTCGCCACTGTCCGTAGCGAGCAAGCCAAACAGTTGCTAGAAGACGAGGTCAAGAGCGTCACGAAAGGAACTGGCAGCACACTTGACATCATACAATATGACTTCTCCACGGCCATCGCTCCGAAGCAGGTGGAAGCTGCATTCGCCAAACTGAACATCCGGCACATTGACGTTCTGGTGCTCAACGCTGGAGGGGCACAGCCAATGGTCCCACCAAGCGAAACCACAGCCGAGGACCTACGCGCAGCTTTCGAGACCAACACCATCGCGCCTCTGCTCGCCTTCCAGGGCCTAAAGTCCTATCTGCTCCAAGCCAAATCCACTCCCAAACTCATCTGGGTCACCTCTTCGGTCGGAAGCATCGCCGACATGGACCCGCTAGGCGGCGGCGCCTACGGTCCGAGCCGAGCGGCACAGAACTGGCTAGCGCGCTCCATCCATCTCGAATTCAACAGCGCAAAGGAAGACACGCGTCTGATCGTCATTCCCCTGCATCCGGGATGGGTGCAGACGCGAGCGGGGCAATACGTCGTCGATCAGTGGCAGTCGGCGCTCAAGGCCATCGACTACAACATCGAGAAGCCCCCGACTACGCTCGAGGAGAGCGTTTCCGGCATGATCAAAGTTATTGACGATGCCAAGGCGGAGCAGTCAGGGCAATTTCTGACCTATCAAGGCAAGACCCTGCCGTGGTGACTTATTGTCACAGCGCCAGATGTAATCCGTAATCGCGTCCGGTGCTGAAACCACTAACGTGCTCCACCAGTAAGCTGGCCACCCCACCAAACTATCGCAACTCCGTCTGCGCCAACGACCATGACTTAGCAACAACGTCCTCAGCAGACCTCTTGTAAAGGAAGACCAAGTCTTGCGATAGTCTCCTATTAAAATAACCCACATCAATCACTCTGCGCGCTTGCAACTGTAACAACGCTCTACGAACAGTGACCCGATACCACTAGGATTCGGTTCTAGCGACTCATGACCATGGCCCTTGTCGCATAGCATAAGCTCACACTAAACTGCTACTAAACCCTTATATATAAGGAGCAAGGAACTGTAGCATTGTAGAGTAGTCTTTCTGTATCCTTTTGTACAAGACCTATAGGTGTAGAGAATATATCCTAGTGTTCTTATCATCCTAGCACTCCTATATGCCTTGTAGCGGATTCACACCTATTCTAGATATCTCTCTTCTTGCCTGCGTTTTTACATTATACAGAAAAACTCGTCCTAGCTAGTGACAGCCTCTAAATAATATTGCAACTTGTTTGTTTTAGATTACGCCTAAGAACCTAGTAGAATTAGAGTTAATTCACTACACACTGTTATATCTAGCATTTAGCTACAGTTAGGATACTAGAGATCTCCTAATAACTAAAGCCTTTAGGTTTAGAACTTCTAAGACAATTATGTCTAGATTACTTTAGAAAAGACGCATTAGATTGCGCTAAGGTAGAGACTAGAAGACTACTACTAATAACCCACCTAAATTAGAGATAATACTAATATTAGGTAGCAACACCCCTAGTTCTAAGGAACCTATAAGAAGATTAGCCTAAGTTTAGAGCGCAGCAAATAAGGCCTCTAAACTACCCCCTAATTAAACCTTAGTAGCAAAGAATGCAGCTAAAAGTAATTAAGAAGTAGATTTAGACTTAGATAAGATAGACCTAGTAAAAGACATTGCAAGACTTTGTGCTAAAATCTTATAACTAAGGGCTTCCTAACAACTATTAGACAACCTACTACTAACTACTAAATTAATCCTAACTATGCCTTAACAGCTATTATAGTTCTAGTCTAAGACACCCCTAGACTACAATATTAGGTGGAAGCTTTCTGAACGTACCCTAAAGATTGATGATCTTGACAATAGAACTAGTCCAACCTTCAAACAATGACAGGCCTAGCCAAAGAATATCTAGAGCCTCAGTATCTGGCCGACACTCCTTCGGAGTCATTTCGGGACGCTGATGAGATGATCGCCCTTCTTAAGTCCTATTTCATCACAGGAAATAAGAAGGCTGAGAGTAGAGCTGTATTTGACTAGCTTACAATAGACAAGAACAAATTATTCCCTGCGTTTAAAGCTTGTTTTCTTAGTGCAGCTATACGTGGACAAGTACCTAGAATAGAGTGGTTCTACTACCTGTGGACTAAGGTTACCTTAGGACTTTGTGTGCCTAACCTAGGTTTCAAGAGGCAGTAGAACAATTTATTTAAACTTATAGTAGAGCACTTAACTACATTTAATATAGAGCAGAGCAACCAACCTAACCCTATAGGAATATTTAGACGTTCTAGTGCTGCTCTAACACAGAGCTAAAATTGTTTTGCTTTAGACACTGCTAAAAAGGTCACACCTTCTAGAAATTATAATGCTTTGTTATTGTATTAACGTTAGCTAAGCAGAGCACTATCCGTACCTGCTCCAAGGGCCTTCTCCAAGACCCCTAGACCTGACAAGGAATCCACACCAACACTAACACCTAGTAACTGCTATAACTGTGGTAAGCTAGGACACTACGCTAATAACTGCCTAGTCCCACGCGTACGCAAGATTAAGTTAGCTAGTAATAAGGACCTTGTAGACGCCTCTAAAACACATAACTACAACACTAACAACTACAATTAGACAGGAAACAAAGAAGCCTAGGAGGAGTTCCCTTCCTAGGCCTAAACTATTATTACTTATCTAATCTTAATTTATCTTATTTATTTAGCAGTGTATATTTCCTTATTAAATCTATTTTATGCTTAAAAGGCCTTAGTGTCTATATTAACTTATTAATTAATACTAGAGCTTAAGGACACCTTTTTCTTAACTCTAAAATTACTTCTTTAATTTCTTTAGCTCTTTAGATTCCTATCTAAAAGCTACCCTTTAAGATTTTAGTAAAAGGTTTTAAGGACTAGATTTTAACCCTAGTTACGTAGTATATCTAACTCTACATAATTATAGATAGTAGAAAGATACATAACTGTCCCTTTGTAATTATAGACTTAGGTTTACAAGACTACACTATTAGAATCTAGTAGCTAAGAAGATTTAAGCTCTAGCTAGATTCAGAGCGTTCTTAACTTATTTAGCCTAACTAGTACCTAGCTGTTTACAACCCCACTCTGCTAATACTTATGTCCCTCTATTAAAATATTATATTAACATGGTTGGCAAGCGAGTCGGTCAGACAAGCGAGTCGGTCACCCCACCAACTTTGATCACCTACTCTATCTTAACACACAATGCCTCCACGCCGCGCTCCTCTCATGCAGTCAAATAAAGCAGATATTCAGCTTGCTCTCTTATCTATAGATTCTGCCCAAATTCAGAGTACGCGACGCGCTGCTACAGTCTTTAATATCCCAAAATCAACCCTAATTGACCAGCGTGCTAGAAAGCGCGCGCGACGCAATTGCTAGCCTAACTTAAGGAAGCTTACCCAGAGAGAAGAGGAGGTGATTGTTAGCTATATACTTCACCTAGATCAGCGTGGATTTGCGCCTACCTACGCAGCTGCACGTGATATGGCTGATAAGCTGCTGGCTGCACGCGGCGCTGGCCAGGTTGGGCAGAAGTGGCCAGCTAACTTTGTCAAGCGTACAGACAGTCTTTAGATGTGTTTTAACTAAGCGTACAATAGGTAGCAAGCTCTGTGTAAGGATACAATATTAATAAAGAGGTAGTTTAAGCTTGTAGAAGAGACAAAGGCTAAGCAGGGTATCTGTAATAAGGATGTCTATAACTTTAATAAAGCTAGCTTTATAATAGGCAAGATTACAACGCAGCTGGTTATAACAGGAGCAGAGAGGAGAGGCAGGCCAAAGACTCTTCAGCCAGGCAATCGCGAGTAGGTAACGCTGATCGCTGCTATCAGCGCTGCTGGCTGGTCAGTGCCACCATTCCTCATCTTCGCTGGTCAGTACTACCTATCAGCCTAGTATGAGGAGGATATCCCACGCAACTAGGCAATTGCAGTTAGCGACAATGGCTGGACAAATAATGAGCTTGGAGTTAAGTGGCTAAAGCACTTTAACGCTTACACGCAGGCTTGTAGTATAGGCGCGCGTCGCCTGCTTATTATTGATGGCCATAAGAGCCACCAATCTCTAGCGTTCTAGGAGCTCTGCAAGGAGAACAACATCTACACGCTCTGTATGCCACCTCACTCATCTCACCTACTCCAGCCGCTTGATGTTGGCTGCTTCTCGCCATTAAAGCGCGCGTACAGCTGTGAGGTGGAGAGCCTTATGCGCAACTACATTAACCACATCACTAAGCTTGAGTTTCTGCCAGCGTTCAAGGCAGCGTTTGATCAAGCGTTCACGCCAGCCAATATCTGCTCAGCCTTCCGCGGCGCAGGCCTTGTTCCTCTACAACTAGAGGCTGTTCTATCAAAGCTAGATGTACAGCTGCGTACACCTACTCCACCAGCAGCAGCTCTGCCAGAGGCTCCCTGGGTAGCTCAAACGCCGAGCAACGCGCGTGAGCTTGAGGCTCAGTCAAGCCTCATACGTGAGCGCGTGCGCCAGCACAAGAGCTCATCACCAGCATCAATTATTGAGGCGATTGACCAGCTAAAGAAGGGCGCTGAGGTGATGATGCTCTCTGCTGAGCTAATGCGCGATCAGATCTCTAGTCTTGAGAAGGCTAATAGCGCAGCCTCAGCGCGTAGGCGGCGCTCTAAAAGGCGTATACAGAAGCATAGAGTACTTACAAAGGGAGCTGGAGAGGATATACTGGCTCAAAATGAGGCTGACCAGCAGATTGCTCATGAAGAGCGTCAAGGAGGAGCGCGATCAGGCCTCAGCCAGCGCGCTCAAAGGCGCTGCACTAGGTGTAAAGAGACTGGGCACAACTCGCGCACATGCAACGCTGATACTATTAATATAGAGTAGTCTACTATATTAATATCTAGCAATATTATTATTATGTTGTTAAGATATATTACATTAAAGTTGCAAAAGTTGGTAGGGTGACCAACTTGCTTGTCTGACTGACTTGCTTGCCAACCATGTTACAATATATTACTCTTAATATTTAATAACACAATAACTTATAGGAACAGGATAAGTATTAGAGAAGCTACAGCACACTAGTTATCTATTAAATTTAAGGATTACTCTACATGCTAAAAAGTTAGAAGTTTACACCTCCTATAATTCTAAGTTTACCTATAGACTTATAATAACTAACTCCTAAAACCCTACTAAATCCTTCCCCTTTACCTTCTATTGCTCTTATTTCTGCAAATACATTCTATTTTAATATAAAAAGAAAAGAAAATAAATTCTTTAACGTACTCCACAGTCGAGTCGCCCACACAGGCGAGTCGCCCACTTTTGCCAAGCCCCCACCAAACCACCCTTCCTACACTAATGCCTCCTCAACACCACCATTTAGACGCGTTAAAGGAAGCTCAGATACAGCTTGCACTCCAGGCTCTTAAACAAGACGCGACTCTCTCTCAGCAACACGCTGCAGCTATCTACAGGGTTCCTTAAAAGACACTAAGTGACTAATACACAGGACAACCTTCACGCGCTGATTCTATAGCTAACTTGCAGAAGCTAGACAACAATAAGGAGAAGGTGATTATTAAACATGTTCTTAAGCTAGACGCGCGAGGGTTTTCCCCTTAGCTCTTAGATGTGGCTACTATGGCCAATTCTTTGCGCGCTAAGCACAATCTAGGCCCTATTAGCACAAACTAGCCTAGTATGTTTGTTAAGCAACACCTAGAGCTTAAAGTTAAGTTTAATTGTAAGTACAACTACAAGAGAGCCCTCTGTAAGGATCCTAAGGTTCTGTAGGGCTAGTTTGGCCTAGTAGCCAACGTTAAAGCTAAGTATAGCATCTAGGATAAAGACACGTACAACTTCAACAAGACAGGCTTCATAAAAGGCTAGATCTCCCTAGGAGCAGTTGTTACAGCTTTAGAGCGACAAGGTTGGCCAAAGGCAGTCCAGCCAGGCAACTAGGAGTGGGCTACAGCTATAGTAGGCATTAATGCTAAAGGATAGGCTATTCCTGCCTTCCTTATCTTTAAGGCCCACCACTACCTCTCTGCCTAGTATAAAGAAGAGGATCTCCCTTAAGACTAGGTTATTAGAGTCTCTAATAACAGCTAGACTACTAACAAGCTTAGTCTAGACTAGATAAACTACTTTAACAGGCATACAAAGGAGCGTACTGTTAGCACCTACTATTTGCTTATTATTAATAGTTATAAGAGCTACAACTCTCTTAAATTCTAGCAGTACTGCAAGGATAACAAGATAATTGCTCTCTATTTGCCTCCCTACTTATTACACCTTACACAGCCCCTTAATGTAGCTTGTTTTGCTGCTTTAAAGAAGGCGTATAGGTGCTAAGCTAAAATACTTATGCGCAACTAGATTAACTATATTACAAAGATAGAGTTCCTACCATGCTTTATACGCGCCTACAATGCTGCAATTACTTCTAGCAATATTTAGGGAGGGTTCTAAGGCGCTAGACTAGTCCTGTTTAACCTATAACAGGTTATAAGCAGCCTTAATGTAAAGCTGCGCACGCTATCACTACCACTACCTGTTAACAACAAGCCCTAGCAGTTGCAAACCCTAAGCAACACCCTTAAACTTAGGTCGCAATTAACACTTGTAAAGACAAGGATTTAGAGGCATATAGATAGCTTGCCTATATCTATAGTTAAAGCGTTTAAGAAGGTCTTAAAGGGGGCAGCTATAATTGCGCACAAGCTGGTGTTAGCACAACAGGAGATTGCTGAGCTTCAAGCTGCTAATAAGGCAGCCACACAACAAAAATTACATAAAAGAAAGTAGGTTAAGAAAGAAGGTACTCTAGTAGTTAAAGAGGGCTAGCAATTAACAGCTCTAAAAGAGTTTGGGGCGCGTGGTGATGGTAAGAAAGCAAAGAAGCAGGTGCGCGCTGAAGTGGGTGAGCCTTCCAAAAGGCGCTGTGGACGGTGTAGTGAGACTGGGCATAACGCGCGAACGTGTAAGAAAGAGGTAGAAGTAGATTCTGAATAATATTACAGGCTATACTGTAGTTTATAGCGCCAATTCGGGTTGTTTTGGGCCATAATGGGGTGGAGTTTGGTGGGGGCTTGGCAAAAGTGGGCGACTCGCCTGTGTGGGCGACTCGCCCGTGGAGTACGTTATAACTAGTTTATATAAGATAAACTAACTAATTTTAGATAAGAAACTAGAGGACAACCCTAAGAATACTGTGCTTGTTAACGCACGACTTCTAGCTTGTTACAGCCTATATTAGGATGTATTTAGTAAAACAGCTACTAAGGAACTCTCTAAGCACTAACCCTATAACTACAAGATTATATTAACTAAACCCCTTCTAAACAACTTTAGTCCTCTATATAAGCAAAACCTAGAGGAACTAGAAGTAACTAAGCAATATGTGCAGGACTACCTTAAGTAAGGCTAGATTAAAAGTAGTAGTAGCCTATTTGCCTCTCCTATCCTGTGTGTTTACAAGTTAAATAGCAATCTGCGCATCTACGTGGACTATTAGAAGCTTAACTAACTAACTTAGAAAGATATATATCTAATACCACGCATAGACAAACTACTTACATAACTATCTAAAGTAAAGATCTTCTCTAAGTTAGATATCTGCATAGCCTTTAATTAAATATAGATAGATCCTGCCTTAGAGGAGTATATAACCTTTTAGACTTGTTAAAGAACCTACAAATATAAGGTACTACTATTTAGATTAACTAATAGCCCTGCAACCTATTAATAGTATATAAATAATATTTTAATTAACTAACGTAGTTCACAAGCGAGCGGTCCAACCCAAGCGAGTGGTCCACCTAACAGAGTTAAGATAATTGCAATGCATATGCTGCAACACTACCACCACTTACTGCAATTTGCAGGTGATAGAGATACTATTTAGACTTGTCGCTATTAGATGCATCTACAATTTTAACTGCACAGGTGCAAGCGTTGTGGCCAGTCTCTCCACAACGTCCGCAACGCCTCTGTGTGCGCACCTTCTTTACAGGCTCTCCACCCCCCTGCTGCCCACTACCCTCCCTTTCAGCTATTAAATTAGCTACCTTACCTACTGTGAGACTCTCTGCTGCCTGAATATACTTCCTCTTTCGACCTCTAACCTCTGTTGCTATCTCTACTGCCTTGCGAAGCCCTGCTATTTCCTGTCGCATTAACACGCTATCATGCCCTATCCATGCAATGCCCTTGTTCAGCTGCTCAACTGCTCTAAGCAGAGGAGAAACTAGGGAATCTCTGTGCAGTTGTACACGCTCACGAACTAGCGTTAACTGAGCCTCTATCTTATAGAGGTTGCTTAGAGTTTTTAATTCCTATAGGGTGTCCTCTAGCTTTGGTGGAGTTAGCGTACAAAGGACCACATCAAGCTTTAATATCACCACCTCTAGGTTGTGTAGAACTAGTCTAGCGCCCCTAAGGCCTGTACAGATGTTCTCCTTTGTAATTAACCTCTTAAAAGCTGCTTTAAAGGCTGGTAGGAAAGCCTCCTTCTTAATCTACTTAGAGCTGTACTGTGCTAAGCCACTAATCTTATTACTATATGCCCGCTTTAAAGGCGAAAAGCAACCTACATTAAGTGGCTGCAGCAGGTGTGACTAGTAAGCAGGCATACAGAGAACAATAATCTTCTCTTCCTTACAGTGTTTGTAGAACTTATGTGAGCTGTGGCTCTTATAGCCGTCCACAATTAGCAGCCTGTGTGCACCCACCTTCTAGTCTTTTATATAGGTATTAAAGTGCTTTAGCTAGGCAATACTAAGCTTATTCAACGTCTAGCTATTAGGACTAACCTTAATTACCTAATCCTAAGGTAGATTATAAAACTATAAGGTAATAAGGACCTTGCTAGGGAAGATAAGGAAGGGTAGGATAGCCTATCCTTTAGCGTTAACTCCTTGTATATTAGTGACCTAACCACAGTTTCCTAGCTGCAGGCTCTTTGTGCTACACTTCTTAGAGCCTGTAAAGACTATCTAGCTATAGATAACCCCTATTATAAAGCCTATCTTGTTAAAGTTGTACATGTCTTTGTCTGTGATGCTGTACTTGGCCTTTGTGTTAGTAACTAGCTTAACTTAGGGTGTTATAACGCGTGCATCTTTGTTAAGGGCTTGCTAGCGATCATATAGACGGCTCCTTCGAAGCTTGATCTCAGGCGTACGCGTCTTGAAGTTGTCTACCTAGTGCTTGCCAACAGGCTCTCCACCGCGCTCAGCAAGCAGATTATTGGCCATATCTCGCACCATAGCCTTTGTAGCAGGTATTCCTCTTGTATCAAGCTTAAGTATACGTTGTACAAAGGCCTCCTCCTCTAGTTTACTCAGCTTCTTTAAATTAGGCTCGCAATTGTGTTAAGAGAGGGCTCCTTAGTGTTGTTAGCAGACAGTAGTTTAAGGTACGCTAAAGGCTATAATAGCGCGTCTTTTACTCTTATTATAATCTTTAATTATAGCTTAGATAGCAAGTTATAAGGTCCCTTTAGTATAGGTTAATTGCATGTTGTGTTAGGATAGCATTGTAATGCAAAGTAGTTATTAGGCTATCATGGTTGGGATGGACCGCTCGCTTGCGTTGGACCGCTCGCTTGTGAACTACGTTATCTTAATAATTTTAGTATTGCCTAACCTGTTTTATCAGTGAGCGCCCCACCTCAGTGAGCGCCCCACGAACACCAGCGAGGCGTACGCGCAGCGACGTAGCTTAGCACCACAACACAAATTTTGTACTCTTGCAACAGTATAGTATTATTTAGAAGCGTCGCTGTTATTTATATCCTTAATTTCTACCTTGCAGGTGCAAGAGTTGTGCCTAATCTCACTGCAACAGCTGTAGCGTCGCCCTGCGCGCACCCTCTTTGCTAGCTCCTTACCCTCCTTACATCTGCCACCCTCCCTTTTAGCAATTGTCGCAGCAGATATCATGCCTATTTACCAGCCAATTCAGGGGTGTAAATGTATGTACATTTTGCCTCTATTTTGGCTGCAACAGTTATGAGCCCGGACGCTGAAACTGCGCAAGCAAAGATTGAATGGATTTTCGTGTTCCATGGGTGACCATAGCCGAGGGTCTTGGCATGGTACCTGCTCTGTTGGCGTGCTATCTGCAGCAATAGAGCATCGCGAAGAAGGATTCATCTATTACTCAGCACATTAGGCATTCTGCTGCGTTGTGTCACCTCCAATTATGCTGTCCTGGTTGGACGTGAGGGGGTGTGTCGCAGCAGATATCATGCCTATTTACCAGCCAATTCAGGGGTGCAAATGTATGTACATTTTGCCTCTATTTTGGCTGCAACAGCAATTAAGTCTAATACCTTGCTAACTGTTAATGTCTCCTCTGCCTATACGTAGTGTCTCTTGCAACTTTTATGCTTTATTGCTACTTTAGTAGCAGTATTAAGGCGCACTATCTCTGCGCGCATTAACACTATCTTATAGGCTATCTGCTGCGCGCCTTTTATTAGCTGCTACACCTGCTTATTAAGTGAACTTGCTAGAGACCCTTAATAGATTTTTATCCTATTTTAAACTAACGTACCCCACGGGCGAGTCGGACACACGGGCGAGTCGGACACTTTTGCCAAGACCCTACTAAACCTCACCCTATTATGGCCCAAAACACCACACTCTGGCGCTGCAAGGTGCAGTACAGCTTAGAATATCATTTAGAGACTACTTCTGTATCATTCTTGCACGTTCGCGCGTTGTGCCCAGTCTGATTGCACCGTCCACAGCGTTGTTAGGAGGGCTCACCCACTTCAGCGCGCACCCGCTTCTTTGACTTCTTTCCATCACCACGTGCCCCAAACTCCTTTAGAGCTGCTATCCGCTGCCCTTCCTTAACTGTAAGGGTCCCTTCCTTCTGGATTTGCTTTCTTTTGCGCGATTTACGTTCTGTGGCAGCTGCTAGAGCTGCGTGAAGCTCAGCGTTCTCCTGTTGCGCCAAAACTAGCTTGTGCGATAGAATCGCTCCCCCCTTTGCGTAGTGCTCAAGCGCGCTCAGCACAGAATTGGGTGAGCTACCCTGCTGCTTCTTATACTTCTCTTGAATCAGAGTTAATTGCGACTGAAGTTCTAGGGTATTGCTGGGGGTTTGCAACTGCTAGGGCTTGTTATTATTAGGGAGTTGTGGTGATGGAGTGCGCAGCTTCACATTAAGCCCTATTATAACCTGTTCTAGGTTAAAGGGGACTAGTCCAGCGCCTTAGAACCCTCCTTAGATGTTGCTTAAGGTGAATACAGCATTATAGGCTGCTTTAAAGCATAGCAGGAACTTAAGCTTTGTAATGTGGTTAATCTAGTTACACATAAGGTCTTTAGCTTGGCGCCTATACACCTTCTTTAGAGGGGCAAAACAGCCCACATCAAGTGGCTGCAGGAGATGCGATAAGTGCGGAGGCATACATACAGTAATAATCTTGTTATCCTTGCAGTATTCCTAGAAATCTAGTGAGTTATAGCTCTTATAACTATTAATAACTAGCAGACAGTAGCTGCTAACAGTACGCTCCTTTGTATACGCGTTAAAGTGCTTTAACTAGTCAAGACTAAGTTTGTTAGTAGTCTAGCTGTTCTTAGAGACCCTAATAACCTAATTATAGGGTAGATCATCCTCTTTGTACTAGTTTAAGAGGTGGTTGTGGCCCTAGAAGATGATAAAGGGTGGAATAGCCCACCCTTTAGCATTAATGCCCTTAATGACTGTTGTCCACTCCCAATTGCCTGGCTAGACCTGCTTTAGCCGTCCTTGTCTCTCCAAAGCTGTGACAACTGCTCTAGTGGATATCTGGCCTATCATGAAGCCTGTCTCATCGAAGTTGTACGTGTCGTCATCCTGGATGCCATACTTGGCTTTAATATTGGCTACCAGGCTAAACCAGCCCTGGATTATCTCAGGATCCTCGCAGAGGGCTCTCTTGTAGTCATACTTGCGATTAAACTTCACTTTGAGCTCTGGTTAGCGCTTAACAAACGTACTGGGCCAGTTTAGGCCAACATGGCCCAGACTGCGCTCAGCGCGCAAAGAATTGGCCATATTAGCCACAGCTGCTAGCCGAGGGGAAAATCCTCGCGCGTCTAGCTCAAGTATATAATTGACAATCACCTGCTCCTCAGTATTGGTTAGGCTCCGTGATTTGGGCATAGAATCAACTCGTGAAGGTCGTCCAGCGCGTCGGTCGCTTAGTGTCTGTAGGGGAGCTCTATAGATAGCTGCAGCGCGCCGTAGAGAGAGAGTCGCGTCTTGTTTAAGAGCTTGAAGCGCAAGCTGTATCTGAGCTTCTTTTAACGCGTCTGACTGGCGTTTGTGGAGAGGCATTGGTGTAGTAAGGGTGTTTTGGTAGGGTCTTGGCAAAAGTGTCCGACTCGCCCGTGTGTCCGACTCGCCCGTGGGGTACGTTAGTGTTTATTGCGCCTCTATTTCTTTAGCGTTGCGTGGTGTTTTTGCCTCCTAAGTGGTGTTAACTTGCTGTGGTGGAGTTTGCGTACGCAGCTGCACATCCAGCTTTAATAACACAGCCTGTGGATTATGTAGAGACAATCTAGTGCCTTAAAACCCTGCGCTAGCATTCTCTCTTGTAAACGCCTTCTTAAAGGCTACTTTAAAGGCTAGTAAGAAGGTCTGTTTGCTAATGTAGTTAATACAATTGCGTGCTAAGGCTGAGATCTAATCACTATACGCGCGCTTTAATGGCGAGAAACAGGCAACGTTAAGCGGCTGCAGGAGGTGCAACAAGTGTGGAAGCATACAGAGGGCAATAATCTTCTTCTCCTTGCAGCAATCCTAGAAATCTATTAAGCAATAGCTCTTGTGGCCGTTAATAATTAGCAGCCTATACGCTCCTACAGGCCTCGCATGCGTATTAAAGTAATCAAGCCAGGCAAGCGCTAGATTGTTGTTTGTCCAGCCTGTTAACATGTTTTACAAGCGAGCGGGCCATACAAGCGAGCGGGCCACCCCACTAACTTTGCGCAACGTGTATACTTCAATCAACCATGGCCCCCTCCCACCACGGCCAAAACAGCTCTCATGAGGCTGATGTAAACCTCGCAATCTTAGCTCTTAATCAACGCCAAATATCAACTAAGAGATCTGCTGCCTATACGTACAGAGTCTCTTGAACTACCCTCCAACGCCGACGCGCTGGGACGCGCGCCCGACGCGATTGCCAGCCCAACTCAAAGAAGCTCACCAAGCTAGAGGAGCAGGTGATTATCAGACATATACTCGACTTGGATA